ATAAGGTTGAAAATATGACTGCATTTTTAGTTTAGCAGTTTGCTAACGTATAGCAAGTAGGTAGGTATAAACGCTTTCTTTTTAAATCATAAAAGTAAGATGAGGACATCTTAGAGCTGACTGACTATTTACAATAAAATTATTTTTACAAAACTTTGTTCTTGTTTGTCTTCCTTCTAGTGCATGATTAATGTCATCTACAAAACAAACCTGTTTTCTTTAATTGTCATAATTTTTAGCTCAGAATTTCATTCCTGAATTCTCTGCATGGCTCTGAAGAGAAAGCAGTCATTTTAAATTTGAAATAAAAAGAATTCAATCAATCTTCAAAATGTTAACTTTTACGTTTAATAGATGAAAAAGTGAAAGAGCAATATATTCTTCGCAGTTTTTCAAACTTTTGTTTAGTTAATGTTTCAAATTCATTATTTTCTAGTACATAAAAACATATGTTTGCTAACATTTTGAAATGCTGGGATGAAAATAATGGATAATAGATACAATTTAGTACTATGGCAAATTTATTGAAATCAATCAAATTTAAATAATAATTCTCTTTGTAAACTGAACTATGTGACCCTTAAGTAGAGGGTCATGTTTATTCACATTTATTTCCACAATATTCATGATAAAAGATTTATTACTGTTGATATCATAACAAGTAGTCTTGATGATAAGTGTGATAATTACATTACAGAAAACTCGTAGATAGATAGCAACATTTGACAAGTTTTCACTTCTCATACTGTTTGTTTTGTTTTCAACTTTAATTGAAATTTTTGCTACTAGAAAACCTCAAAATTCAAATTGTTTAGAGTGCGCAAAAAAAATCAGAGTGCTAATGAAATTAAAAGCAAATAAATGATAAATGCTATTTGTTTTCTCTTCTCTAGAAATGAGAAAGTCTAATGCATGAAATAGTAATAATTTCGTACAACATTTGAAATTTAAAAAAATAAATGAACAGTTTTAAACGATTTTACTGCTAAAAAACAGTATTTTTATTCATGTAATGAATCATTTTTATTCTTTATTGATTCATTGTAATAAATCTTTCACATTTATTACAATGAATCAATAAAGAATAAGAATGAACTATCATAAATAAATTCTTGGATGCATTTCTCAAACATTTTTCACGTCTCGTCAGATTTCGCTCCACGTTAATCAATGCTGTGGTAAATCATTTTCACTAAGTGAAGTATTATTATATGCATAAGTAAAAATGCGCCAAAATTTTTGTTTAATTTTATTGTGTGAAAATTCATTGGGATTTCGATTGTGTAACTGTAATGCTTTGACTGCACTAGCTGTTGAAATGGAATTTCTAAAAAGTTTTGATGCATCACATAAAGCGATACATGTGCGTATTTCGAGTAGAATAACTAGTCATCTGATTTTTTTAGTAGTGAAAAAGGCATGAGCTGTAGTAATTAAGTAAAAATTCAAAAATTCACTTAATTAGAGAGATCATGACGAGTTCCGCTTTCAGACTCCCATAGTTTAACGATAAATCTTTATAGCTTGATGTAATCTTGTAATTGTCATAAATTATGAAAATTTGACGAATGCAATGACATTTATCATATAATAACAGCAAGAAAGTGGTTATTTTTACTGCTATTATTGCTTTTTATAATCTTTCTGTAAGGGCATGTTATTTTTCCTATTGCTTGCCATCGATACAACTATTATCATCTTATTCTGTTACCAACCAAACCCTTATAAAATATACAGTATATTTCATTACTATAACAAGTTGTATTTTATCCTTATATATTCTTCTTAATCAAAGATTAAATAATAATTGGTAAAATTTTCGAAGATTTTAATTTAAAAAATTGAATACATTTTAAACTCACTACTATGATATGGGCATTATCTTAAAATGTCTTTGCGAGTGTATAATTGGCATCGCGATTAGTTTTACGTAACCTGCGATATTTAGAAATAAGCAGACAACAGATTTTTCTTGGATAATATTGGTAAATCTTTATCCCTTTATCCATTTCTACTTTATAAAGTTTTAAAAAAATAATACATAATAAAATCATTCCAAAGTAGGGCCAAAAAAGAAATATTTAAAAGAGGCGCGAATTTTAAATTTTGTACTTGGAAATCTCAGATTGGAGTTATTTCTTTTTTTTTTTGATCTCACGCATATTTGTTTCTCAAATTTAATATTTATCTTACAAAGACTTGCAAGAATTACATGATGACGTATCACAACAAGAGAATACCAGTTTCAGTAATGACAATTGCTGAAATTTATCCATTTGTCAGTTTGCAATGATTATCAAACTGGCACATCAGTGTGGTACACGACTTTTATTTAACAAATCAAATGTCATTCATCACCACTAACTTCAGAAATTATGCAAAGTTCAAACTAACAGTAGAATTAAAATTTTTTTTCTGAGCATTGAGAACAAAAATATATTGGTTTTTAGTTCAAAATGTGCAGTTGATAAATCGCATAAGCTTGTGACTGTTATCAAAATGAACACATGAACTTCTATGATTTCATTAATGCATTAATAACTGAGTGAGTTCAGCATGTAATGATTTGACTTTATCTGAAATTGTGAGAAATAGTCAGAAAATGAGTTTAAAATTAATTACGAATATAATCAATGTTGTTGGAAATGCATATTCAAATAAAAAGCCGAAATATTGGTGGTAAATACTAAGTCATGAGGAAGAAGATATGAGATTTGTGTTATGGATGAGCATTGCGGCTGCTCAACTTGCCCTTTAATTATCTTTGAAATATATAAAACTTAGCTTGTCTTTTCCTTGCTGTAAGCGATTACCAATTCATGATTGACGAAGTTAAGAATACGATAAGAGGAATAAGAGCAATATTGAGCTGAGGTGTAAAATCATAGTTTGAACGCTTCACATGAACATTCTACCGATTCCACTGGTTGATGGCCAATTACTGTCATAGTTGACACTTCAAAGCCTTTAAACCGTCTCTTCGTTGATCTTATCAGTACCATTACTTTCATCCTTCTCATGCAACATATTTTTATGTCTTATGCTCAGAATGCTCCTTTTCCATAATTCCGAAAATATGCAAAAAATTTGAATAAATCAATTGGTAAGTCCCATCTCTTTCCTTTTTATCACACATTTAATATTTTAATTACTAATTTGATAACTCTTCATGACTCATACATGGTGATGTAGAGAAAATATCGAAAAAAAATACGTTGAATCAAAGAATTTTCTATACCCAAAATCTATTGAAGCACTGAACCATAAACTAATTGTTTGTAAACATCCATACAGACCCAACTACAGTACGACACCAAGAATTGGGAGCAACTTAGATAAGGATATGACCATGAGTATTCAAAACAAATCCTTCCTATTCACATCACTAAGGTAATGTTCAGAACAAGAAACCTTACAAAAAAATAACACTGTTATAAACCCAAAAATGATTTTTAAATCCGGTGTCTCGTGCAAGTCTTTTACGACAAATATTCTTTATTTGTATAACCTCTAACCAATAGTTACGACACGGCTACCATTCTCGAATTAAAATGAAAATCTCTGAATGTAATGTGACTCATCCATGTAAATACTGAGAACTTGGTATTGAAACTTTAGTTTTGTCACAACTTTATCATTCAAATATCTACCAAAAATCTGACCCACAACTGTGCGAATGAGTATCCAATGAGATATTTATTAAAGTATTTAAGTGCACGTGAGGCAGATAGCTAGGTTCTGCAGTAATATTTATATCCTACAAAAATACATCATGACTTCGGATTTTATTTTGCGTTCAATTCAATTACGGAGTTCACAATTAATTCAATCTGGAAACTGCAAAACTGAGTTAAGAAACAACTCACAAGATCAAATTGCTGAACACACTATTCGTTGTGCAAAACTTTCTTTTACTTTCAATAACGCTAATTTCAAAACCTTTTTTTCCTAAACCGGACTGATAAAAATAATAGATGGACTTGAATGTCGAAGAAGCACAGTTTCATAAGTAAAAAATGTCGGATGAGTAACAGAATCAATCCACATAACGACAAAAGGATATGAAAACGCACAGTACAGTAATAATTCGTTGCTACAGAATAAAAAAATTTATTGAATATGCGGCGAAATTTTTAAGGGTATAAGTACTGGCAATGTAAGCAAAGCATACAATGAAAACAGGTTTTACATGAAAATCAAATAATAAGGGTACCTAGCATTCAGTGCAGACCACAAGAATTCTACGAAAAAGCTGTTTAGGTTTTGACGATGATACGAATACAAAACGAACCAACTTACAGCAAAAGCCCAGCCAAAACTACTTAGTACCTGTTCATATCAGCTTGAAACAATTCATGCTATAAACTAGTAATTTATAGGAATTCAAGAGCGCAGAGAACTCTCCATGTACATTTACTTCGTTTTATATATAAAGACTAAAATGATAATTTCGAAAAACAACACCATTTTTACGATAGTTCCGAACTGCACGTACACAGAGAGCCCTGACGATCTTGAACTTAAGTAACCGTAAGTTGAAATAAACAAGTACATTTTTAGGTTGTTTATTTGGCACAAGATTCATTTGTTATTCCCATTATAGTTCAAAACTTAACTAACTATTTAATAGAACACTTCATCATCTTTTTTTTAGGGTCACTGAAATTTAATATTAACAGACTTGAAGTAAGGCACAACATCTTGTACCAGATCACTAATGAAATCTTTTCATGAATATTTAAAAACAAAACAAATCAACAATGATGGAACATCTAGACCAAGTCATCAATGAAATCATTATGAACACAAATTGCTAAAAAAGGAAAGATGGAGGCAAAAAAAAAATAATAATAATGAAAACAATAACAACAATAATGTAAAAACAGTAAAATTTAATGTGTACAAAAAATAACTACCGTCGATTATTACTTGCAGCTTCAATTCCTGTATTTCCTTGTAATGATTCCTAACTAACACAAACTCTGGACTTACTTTGTTACTTACACCCAACTATCTCCACCAACAAGACCGTATCGATCGGTACGTTTATGCACTGATGCATATAAAGGTTCATAAGCCTAAATAAACGTATTTACAAACACTCATCAGACGAAAATATAGCAGAAAGAACAAAAGTAACAACACAATAGCACCTCGTGTATATAAAAGTTAAAGAACTTCCTTTAAGGACTTAAATTATTATGAAAGAAGTGAACTAACATACCCTACTGTCTAATGTATCATATTTTCCAATGCACAAAGAATTCGTACTGCTTTCAGGATTTTCGTTGGTCCCATGAGTTGGTCGTTCAGCACCTTGCGATGATATTGGTCGAGAAAGGGTTGTTGCGTCACGAACACGAGATGTTGTTCCCGAATAAAAATCTGATTCCTTCAGACCATTTCGTTTGAAGCCATCATGAAGTTCTTTGTGCTGCCACATCAAATAAAGGACCTTTAAGAGTACTACAAACTTTTAGATCTTCAACTAATTACAAATTACAACTGTTCTGTCCTTGGTAAAAGTTACCTGTGATGCATACTTGCAAATCCGGAAACTGTAAGTTGGATGTGAACTCGCTAAATTTCTTAGTCTTTCAGTTCCACCGCATTCATGAATATTCCTAAAAACAGGAGAAAAAGAAAAATTAATACTTTATTCGGAAACTCAGCGGTAATGGGAACTGCAGTTACAGTTTACAACTTATGTGCATAATGCTAACTAGGAAGATAGACCCAGACCTTGTAAAATCTGAAGAATGTTTGATTATTTCAAAAAATATGCCCAAAACAGCTCCTATTGTTGCATCGCTCACATTTGGATCTCGATACCGCTGTTCTGCCCTTGGTAATTTTGCCACTAGATCTTTCATAGCATATTTGCCAATTAATTCACGGTTTCGCTGCATTACATAAGATTTCAACTTAATCGTAACTTTTGTAGACAACTGAATTTTAGTAAGAACTTCATCTTTCATAACAAAAAGCCTATCTAGACGTAAAGTTTTGAAAAAACAGTAAGTAGTTACTTGATCAAGCGAGAGATTACGTAAGGCTGTTGTTACAGCGCAAACGACCTTGTCATCATTTAATCGCAATAGCTCCACTAACACGGGCAAACCTTTTTCTATACGAACACAGGCTCTAACATTGATCGATGGCTCAAACTGACATGCAACAAGATTTTGTATCGCACCAGCAGAGGCCTACAAAACTTTATTTAATGCCCTTTCAATTAGAAATAATGGAACATTGATGACATGATATTAACTGATAATTTAAGACTAACTTCCAAAACTTCAGGATTTGATGCCTCCTGCAATAGCTTCAAGTACAGCTTAACTAATTCGGGTTGCCATAAATATTCTGCTCCCTGCAAAGTCACCACTTTTCAACTTATTTATTTTTTTTTCATGAATGATTAAAAGGAGCAAATAAAAGTTTCCAAAAAATCAATTCAAGCCTATTCTTTTAGCTTTTTAAATTATCTGCAAAAAAAAAATACTTTAGAACTAATATTCGTACATTTTTTGATTCATTCATCACGGAATTTTGTCGCATTTTCGATTTCTTGTTAGATTCTTTTTTCTTTACTTTTGGACTTCCTGATGGTGCAGACTTACTGCGTTCCCGTTGAGATGTTTCAAAATCAACTTTAGGGTCGTAATTCTCATCTACTACTTCTTGAATTCTGAAAAAACAATAAATAACTACAATTTTTATGTAAAATCATATGTAACAATAAATTTTGATACTTTAAAAGGATTACCGGTAACTAAGATTTCTTAATGTGCATACAACATTTTCTACGGTTCGTGTATCAACCTGATTTCTTAATACAGCTTGACGCAAATAGTAAACAAGACTTTCGATTAAACCAGGACATCCACGTAAAATCTTCCGAGCATTCGAAGATGCAGCTGAGACATTCCTGAAAACCAAAAATATTAGTGGAAATAAGGTGCGAAAATAAGCAGATACAAAATCATACCTCAACACTCCAGTTCCATTTTTGAACATATTGACATTATATGACACATTTAACCCATTCTCCATATCATTACCAATTAATCTCGAACCAGGTACAACAACACGTTGATTTATTGGTTCCGAAACTTGATCAAGTATAGAGGATTTAAGGTCCTATAAATCAGCCTATCTTTTATGCATAAAATGAAGCATACATTAACAAGCTATCAAATTTTACTCATAAATTACGTACGTCACAACTCGAAAGATTCCAAAGAGTAGCAGTGACCTCTTCCATGACATGTACATCGTGCGTCTGCCTTAGCAGCGCCGCTAGAGCAGCAATTCCACCCGCATCATTAATAGCACGCTGAGAAAATTAATTCATTAATAGTATCAAATCTTATATTACTAATAAAAGTTGAAAATCCTTCCTTTATTTAAAAATAAAAATAACTCCAACAGCTGCTTAAAAAACGTTAGATAAAAAATTTTTTACCTTATTTTCATCATTTTCTTTTCCAAATGACAAATTCTTCAAACAACCGCAAACGTTTTTCTGGATATCCGGAACATCACCACTAAGTAAGCGAACAAGTTTTGGGATTCCACCAAGTTCCCTTCAAATTAAAATGCCCTCCTACACCGAAAAAACTTGTGATCGTTTAAAAAAATTACTCAGTTAAGTTTACAGCAATCAATAGATCTTCCATAAAAGTACCGCGTTTCTTCCTTGATAGCATTATCATTAAATGTCAAATGCTGCAAGTAGCCGGATGCATTCAGCTGTTCCACTTTATTTGTACTGTCCAAATATTCAATCACCTCCTTCAATGTTGGATCTCTCCAGTGCACTAAAAAATTTCATAACAAAACTACTGTTTAATATCTTGAAACCAATTTTTTTTAAGAGTTAAAACCCTCACAACCATCTTTTTCACGAAGAAATTTTCTGTGTATAGGCGGCGGAGAATCATCACGATCAGGCAAGGGTGGCGACTCACGCACAATTTCATCCTGTAGTAGCGGAACAGTTCCATATGTTGCTGTTTCCACAAAGGCATCACCACCACCATCTGCAAGCAAGTAACAGTAAACACAGGAACTCGTAAAACAGCAAAAAATTTAACAAATTTCAGTAGGATAAATTATTACTATACGATACTGCAATGTGGACAACTGGAGAAGGATCCGATGGCAACGAATAACCGACAGCATTGCAAGCTATTACGCGAAACTGATAATGATGACCAGGTATAAGATCACCAACTGTAAAAAAATAGCTGGATATTCTGAATATTTTGTCTCATGTGCTCAGTATGTTTTGAATTATGACGTGTTGATATCAATAAAAATAAGGATATTGGCGCAAATAGTTATGTGTGGATAACTGTGTACCAATCACCAGTGATGTCATTTGCAACCCTTAAATAAAACAAAAGAACGTAACATGCAGAAAAACATTTACTTATATTCACCACGTAAATGAAACCCATAAACAGGAGCTAGTTTTATGTGTGCCCACAAGTAACCAAGTGACAGGTTGCTAACAGTAGCTAAACCCACAAACAAATTGTTTACAGCATGAAATACCTGTCATTTTACAGGAGCGAATAAGCCTTTCATTAACTCTATACCACGCTGCATCTTGTTGATGATCTCGAAATTCAACATTATAACCCTAAAGAAACGAGAAAATTTTTTTTGTCAAATTATTAGAAGTGAAGAAATTGAATAAACTTACAGGTATTTTACCGTCGAATATCTTACCTGTATAGGTAAAGAGCTAGCAGCTGGAAACCAGCACAGTGTTACTCGATCACCGTTGCCGAAGTCTACGTATTCTGGTGGTTGCGGTTTGGCTGGAATTCCTTGCAAGAATCCAGATCTCACTGGCCGCAGCTGTACAGCATTTGAAACTGCTGATGGTAGAGATACATTACCCTCACGATCACGTCCAATTACTCGAAATTCATATGTGGAATTAGGACGTAGACACTTCACTAAAAAAATACTGCAAATATACTAAGAATCCGACTCTACATGTTCTCAACGATTCTTTGGACTACCAACGAATGCAATAATCAGTTTTTAGATTTACCTGTGTATGATGTAGTAACAGCTGCTGTTGTAGCAGTATACCATAAGGGATCACCGACTTCTCGATATTCAACAATATACGAAGTAGAAGGTTCATCTGGTGGACCACCTTCTATCCAGTGAAGTTGCACCCAATTCGCATCAAATTCCTCAATCTGAAAACTTGCCTTCGAATGCAACAGGAATATAATAAAGTAACAACTAATACATCAGAATTGAAAAAAGCTTGTCTTCCGGATGCAGATTCCAAAGTTTGATAAACCTGTGGTTGTCCAGGAGGATGACAAGCATCTTGTGCTTTCATCAGAGATGGATAGTGATAGAGAGCAGACGATTTCAATCGCACAAAACCCGATGATAGACTTGGCTCTGATAGACCATCAGCACTTATCGCTACCACTCGAAATTCATAATCTCCATTTGGTTTTAAATTGGATACTATGAAATTAAAAAGAACATAAGTTTAAAAATCAATGAAACGTAAAGAAAATAATAATAAATGAAATGCTATACATTAATTTGCAAAACAAATATGCCTGTTTATTTAATAAACAATCCAAACCTTCAGTCCTACAAGTCGTGATTAAATTATCATTTGACTGTGTCCATTCACTATTTTCTGTACGATAACTTACCTGTAAATAAAAATTATTCAGTGGAAAAATGACTAACTTTCTGTAAGTGACAAAAGCTACTGATATGGGAATATCCCTCACATAAGAATTCAAATCCCAATTTATTATAACATTCAACAACTTAAAGTTATTACAATAAAACTCAAAACTTTTATCCAAAATGTTTCCCAATAATTGTGATATGATGTCTCAACAGCAGCAACTGTCATAAGTTACTACTAGATGTGATCTAAGGAGCAAAGATTTGTAAGGATTTCCTTGTCTTAAATTTAAAATTAATAAAGAATTCTCACTACCCATCAAAAGTTCATACCTTATATCCAGTGACAGGAGAAGAACCAGGACTTGGAATTGCCGGTGACCATTCGAGCACAACACTACTTGTATCAAGCAATATGACATAAGGACGACCAGGAGCAGTTCCATTCCAACCATCTTTTAAAAATATGAATAAGGAAATAAACTAATAATTTCATTTTACAATTCGAAATAAGCAATACTGAATTCTTACTTAAATCGCTATTGAATTTATAGTCGGAACATAAATGTACACCCGTACAAGCAACTGAAGGCATACCACGACCTGATGAATTAACAGCAACAACTCTCACATCATACTTAGAGTGAGGATTAAGATTTTTGACTGAAAAGAGTTAAATGAGAATGCGCATGTCTAAATTTTGAAATACTTTAATATCTTGTGCGACCTACACAGAAGGTGGACAAATTGAGCACTATTTGAAGAAATGAGCAGGTAGAAATGGATAAAGTAATTACACATACTTCTAAAACTAGTTTTTTTGATTAGGTCTTCATTAATGACACACCATTTAGCACTGTTTAATTCACGAATTTCAATCTGAAAATCGGGTCTATTAATATTTAAATTTGTTTTTAAATGTCTTCTGACTACTCATCTAATAAATTACCAGGTATCCTATCAGACCAGCTTGTCTATCAATTTCTGGAGGCTGCCATATGATAGCAATATCGCTAATCGTCACATCAGTTATTTCTGGGACACTAGGAGCGCCTGGTACATCTGAAGAGCTTGTTAATTAAATTGGTCTCTGCCAATTATTCAAAGTTAAGTAAATTATGTTGAACTGACTTCAAGGAATACGAAAACCTAATTTCAAAAAAATGTTCACAATTTTGCCACATTTTGAACTCATGCTTGAATGACATGATTACGTGATAATAAGATTTTAGGCTATTTTCTTTTGGCTGAAGACAATGAAAAGTTTCTTGTTTTACAAATGCTTTCAAGGTGTATTTTAGATGGTTTTTTGTCTAGAATGATACATTTGTACTATTCAGGATTTCATATGAAAGCAAAATTGTTATGTGATATAAAGTTAAAAAAAGTTGTAGTTTGCAATGCAAAGATGAAAAATTACTTTGCGAAGCATAAGCTTCAGTTTCATAAACTGAACTTGGAGCAGGTGGTGGTGCATCAACGACGTGCCGATCAGGCATACTGTCGTCTGACCTCAAATCAATACCAAAAGACAGCAGTTCATCTTGTGCATCCGGCTCTCAAATTAAAACCCAATGAAGATATGAAAATTTACAAATACATATCATTTACTGTACATTACAGGCCACAAAATACTAAAACAATTTACTATAAATACCATGTTCATCAGAAGGAGTAGTAGTACGTTCAACCAATAACGGACTGCCGTCAGCATCAAAAAAGTATTCAGCTCCTTGGCTAAGAGAGGGTAGTTGACGTAATGATCGAGTGGTAGTTACTTTTGTGACGCGAGTTATCTTAAAATTGTCAAGATGACATAACGCGCCAAAACTTAGAAATTCTACACTGGTAAAAAACTAACATGAAGTCATAGACGACAAAAGCTTTACTTTTTGCATTTGTGACGAATGTCGTTCAATATCACCACAAAATTCTTTATTTAAAACGTGATCAGTTGGAGACGTTTCATCAGGTAGTTCATCATAATGGGATTCATAAGTATAAGAATATGTGGAACTTTGTGCACTAGCAGGCTCTATCAGTGATTCAGATGAATATGCCGATGAGTTGCTGCAAAAAATTAAAAAACTGAAAAAAAAACAAATCTTTGTTTGCAACAGTAAAATTAATTCGATTCATAGAATACCACTTAATTAACAACCCTCAGTTCGATATGAAATGAAATTAAACATGATCATCTTTATAGAAAATAAACGAACAGATGCAATACAAGCAAAAAAATATACGTTTTCGAAAGTCCATCTTTCTTTACTTGCATCCATGAATCCGAAGCAGTAGAGTGTGGTATTTTACTGAAAAACAAAAAAGTTAAACAATCAATCTACAATTCCACTTTAAGATGTAAATATAAATAAATACTAGAATGTGTACAACTGCTGCCGAAGACGATGCCTAGTGTCGTAATGATTTTATAAACATCTTTAGAAAGTTAATTACATAGACCAAGTACAATTGCAGATATCTGATATGGTATAGAAACAAAGAGTCAATAATGTTCTGTTAAGAAAAGAAGCAAACCTCATACGCGTATCCACTTGTTCTGATGTGTACACTTCTGTAAGACGAGATTTTTTTTCATGTTTCATAGTGCATGTTGGTGGAATTGAAGGAATTTCTTGATCTTCCTCCGGAATTGGTTCCATCTAAGACATTTATAATACAAAAAATTTAATCAGGAAAACCATAACTCTCAGGAAACCTCATATGCTGAATTAAGATCGTAAAGACCTAAACGTGTTTAATTCATATATATTTGGCAATTATAGAACACATTCCACAGACACACAATTTAATGGCGGCCCTAAATTTTACACCATCTAATTGTTGCATCTATATAGCTAATATCAGATGTAATTTTGATTTAAGTGATAGGTTCTGAAGTTTTTTATTGAGTAAGTGCTTTCTTAGAATATATGAATGAAGCAGAATCTTTATTTTACGTGCGAGGTGATATTTAGCAATTTTCAATGCATCCCTTTGTAACTTTAAATTGGGAGTAAAAATTTTGTGTTTGAAACTTTTTAAGTCAGAATTTTTTTGCTCTCTTTTTTGACTTCAGTTTAGTGTTCCAAAGTCTCTCAGTGACAGCTCGCTGTCAAATGTGCATAATTAAGAATCATATATGCTGCTAAAGTATTCAATAAGTAAGAGTGAGAAATATAAAATGGCGAAGAAAGAAAAGTCATTAATGGTCTGAATTTGCTAATTTGTACCAGCCAAACGTTGAAAACTATACGAATTGCAGTTATCATTGGAAAAGAAAGTGAGGTGTCATTGCGATGGGATAGGTCCACCATTTTTTAGTCGACCTTGTGAAACTCTTAAAAATTTGAATGTCAATAATTAATTCAATGAAGGATAGAAAAGGTTGAACTATATTTTTTTAGATGTTAAAAGTATAAGTTATTCTGATGGTGAGAAACACTGCACCTGTAAGTGAGAACACTACACTTAATTCTGGATAATAGATATGAGCAAGTTATTGATGCAAAAATAGACAAAAAATGTTCAATATTAACAAAAATCAGCGTAAAATGACGTAAATACGATTACACGTTTGTACTGAGCAAAAGAGTTGTAAACACGAAAGTAAGAGAAACGAACAAGTGTTGTACGTTTTGCAGACATCTTTGCTTTCTTTCTATTAAAGAAAGTAACGGTAGTATTGATAAATATTAAATTGCTACTGCTAACTGATTCTGATAAGCTTTGTTTACAAAAGAAATTTCACTTGTTAAGCAGTCACGGAAACAAAATGAAAATGAAACTAACAAAGAAGCGAAAATCTGAATGATTCAATTATGTACATGTAAGATTAGATATGAAGATTGCTGCAACGAACATCAAATTTATATTCATCAAGGCTTAATGAGATAAGCAGTAAAGAAAAGACGAAGAGCGATGAAGATGCAAATGGCAGGACAGACTAATGTTAGCCAGTCTAGCTTAAGCTATCCTTTTCTGACATTTTGTGGCAAGCAATTTCATTTTAATAGACTGAGCACGTGTTCAATAATTGTCACGGTAGTATAGGCAAAATGAGACAAGTATAGCTAGACTGAATCAAACAGAAATTCCATCCTCCGCTTGAGATAGCTCTTCATAATTAATAACTTAACACAATATTAATAGTGTCACGTTTAGAATGAGTTGTAAAATGTATTATTTGCAGTGTTTCATACCTTTATATAGATATAAGGTAGATTCTGCAAATTCGTATGCATTCTTAAAATTACTGTATCTTCAGTGTTATCTAATTTCTGTTATTTATTAGTATTAATGAATGCATACATCATTTAGTTAGACACTAAATTTGCTACTTAGTCTAAATGTGACACTACTAAATAAACTTTTCAATTTATACAGCTCTTCATACCAGCTACTAATTTCCGTTTTAATCATCAAAATTATACAACGATTTTGCGGTATTCTGTGCGTTACTTGAATACTGACTACCAAAAAGAAATTTAAGTTTTAAATTAATATTCAATTTCTTACTGTTTGTTCTCTTGTTTGGTAGCACAGCACTGAGAATTTTGAAAACAAATGTGTACCACAAAAAAAACTCAGAAGGTTCAGAAACAGAGTGTGCAACTGAAGTAATAGTTGTGTATACTATTCACAATAAAAACTAGCATTTACTGCATCAGTCTTTTTGCAAAAGAATTAATTTTCCTGAATAAGAGACCTAAATGTCCAGCAAATTAGATTACCACTCATGGTGGCAACTCATTTTATTGCTTTTTTCGGCTATAAAACGGGTTTTGATGATTGAAAAGCAGCCATTACTGAGGATACTGTCAATGAGGATTAGATCTGTCGAGATTTCTGTATAGCGGTAACAGACTGGACACCTTGAATCTTATGAATACAAGACTTTATAATTTCAAGAACTGTACTTATATCGTATTTTACTAGATAAAGGTACCGAAATGTTGTTTCACCAATCTAATGTGTGATTCTATTGCGATCAACATTTCCTAGATTTAGAAAAATACGAAAACCAAGAAAAAAACTTGACTTTGAGTACTTCCTTTATTTATAATTTACATTTGTAAGAGAATAAATGCGAGTCAGTCTGCAGTAGCTGTACTATATTATTACTCTTGAATCCATTTTGAAAATTCCTTTTTTTGAGTTCTGTAGGTGATTGCATACTGCGAAAATAAATACCAATTGAACTGACCATGACTAACCAATCCATGTTTTGATAAAATGCGCATCAAAATGTATAGAAAATAACAGTTGCTACCATTTGTACTTTGTGCCTGACTACTACAAATGCGAATAGTCACACTTCCATACTTTCGACCCATTCTCTTTCATAGTTATTCATTCCATATAAATTGCAATATCGAAATATTTCCCAAATTACTGAATTGAAATCCAAAATTGTTTACAAAAAAGTAGTATAATTATGAAAGTAAGCGTTCCATTTGTCGCAAATTTTCTAGTTCATTTAGTTCCCACTTTCTCGTCACTTTAAAATTAAGAACTGTCAGTAAACAAGAATTAAAGAAGAAAATAAATCATCCCGAACATACTAGAAAGCACAAAGTAAATGCATAAAAATTTCGGCATTTAATACACAAATAAATACAGGTTATGTGCAGCCCTTTATCAATGACCACGCCACCGTAGAATTGGAAAAGATGTCGTTCCATATCATCGGAGTACAAAGCTCACGTCAAACGGATTCATTTGTCACTCAAACATGACAACTTGTCAGCGGGTACAGAGCGATTTTTCTGCGGGGATGAACGAAATTAAACATCTGACATTCAACGAACAAACAAACCCATTTACCGCTTTCTACACCAAAAGCTATACAAATGCAATGTGTTGCAAGAGGTTACCATTACCTACTTCTCAACTTCTTGCTAGTATTACGATTGATTTACAAACCATTACTGACACTGAGACTAATATTATTAGGATACCAATTATCAAAAAATGACAACCATAAAAACCTACAGTGAATAAGCTCATAAGTGGTTGATAATTGCTAGAGATACAAATGAAATCAGAACCCCTACAGCGACACTTTATTATCATTGACCTGATTTATTCAGAACTTTTTCTATGTCAATAACAAACAACAAATAACAATGATATGAGAGTAAACGCGGTGAGAACAGTTTACAATGAATAGATGCAACAATAATCGAATAATTTTAATAAAGAGGAAAATCATGATCAACAGTGTGAAACCAATTCTCGTAACCACCATCAACATCTTTGAAAGAAATCATAGGGTCCGCAAACTTTTCTCGCAAATATATTACTGCTTCCTGTGATTCGTTCCCTCGGCGGCAAATTACATAAACTAGAACGAAAAATGAATAAGTTGAGTGAGATTAATCTTTCAAAATTTACTTTCAATTACTGCTCAAATTCGACTGCTTCCAGCACATGAAAAAACAGTAGTTCAATATTTAGGAAATTTCATGCCTTAGACCCTACTGCAACTTTCAGCAATTCAAATTTAAATAAACATTCACTATCGTAATTGCCTGAAAATGCTTTTCCTTCTATTTCAAAAGAAAATTTCATTTATATAGTTAAAAGTAAACAAAATGAAAGTATTTCAGATGGATACGTATGTACACGACCTGCAAAAGTAATCACATAAATCCTTCGTTCAGTTTTTTTGATCTCAAAAGATTTTAAAATTCTATTTCTTAGATCACTATTGACAACGACATCATACAGGAACAAAAAATTATGCATTAGTAAAAAAAATAAAAGAGAACGAGATTCGTCAGAACTCACCTCCTTTATTTTTCATTTCGTTAATATCAGTATTAAGCTTGTGGAACAAATCTTCAGGTTCACATCCATAAAGCACTGTCATAGGGATGTCTGGGATATGCATAATAATAATTGACTTTTTCTTTGCAAAGTTTAGAAAATCAAAACGATGAATGCTCATAATATTGAAATCCAAAATCTTATATTTCATATAGTTATTATCTATTAGGAATACATTAAAGTTTACTGATGGCATAAGGCAAATGCCCTATACTAAATTCGTGCGCCGGTCTTACATCCATTAATAATAGTTTATCCGGACATTTTTTAATTAGATCCAAACAAAAAAGTGGCCCAACACGATCATCTTTTTCGAGAAGTTGACACTGAAAACCGTAATTTCTTGGTTAAACGACAAGATCAGATTTTCAAAAGCAACAGTCAGTATACGAGATAAAATAAAGATTATCTCCTTCATTTAATCCAGTCCATTTAGTGAATCAACGGCCTTTAATCAATAACATGACCTAATGAACAACAAGCTACCGTCAACCAGATGGCATAATTAACAAAGTGCAAAATCTATAATTTCTAATTTAAAATATTACATTTTCTTTGGCTGAACATTCATATAATTCCTTGCAATCTTCAAGATTAGAAATTGATGCATTATCACCACATACAAGACAATCCACGTTCCTTTGTCTTAACTTCACAGTCTTTGTTTTGATATTCAAGCCATCAAAGATATATAAATAACCAGCCAGTGAGCCTAAAATATAATAATGCCAAATTCAAATAATTGATTTGAAACAATTATGATTAACCATTCAACACGACATAATTAAACTACTAATATGAAGTGAAAAATTTATTTTTGGTATGTTTTACAGTGTAAGCAAACTGATTGTGAGTTCATTCAGAATTTAATGTTTAATGAAACTTTTTAGCTATAAGCAAAGTTAATAGAGAATAATTGAGAATAAGGATTTTTTAGCAAACAACTGAGGACTATTAACAGGATTCAAAGAAATAAGTACAGTGAAACAGATAAAACAGTCTCAATATCAGTTTTCACAAGAGTTTTTGGTGTTCACCAGCTGCTTTAAGTAACTCAAATTTAGATAAAAACAACAAGGATGCAGTCCTGTTGCTGGCTTCAATACTAAAACAGGCTTTCTACATAAAACTTCTTTCATTACAAACAAGAAGACAATAGAAAGACTTTGAATTGAAGAAAACAGACATTTGACGTTTGCAGCAATTTTAATAATTTCGTTAGCTTGCATACAGCCAATCACACCAACAACTGGGCCCATAACTCCATCGTCTGAACATGTTTTCACAGCATCTCGTGAAGGTGGATGAGGATATAGACACCGATAACATGGGCAGTCCTTGATTAAATTAAATTTGTTTCATATTCTTATGTATCCCAATATATTTTTTAAAGTTAGCAATATATTGTGAACTTTATTTATTAGTGATAAAACTTCAAAATTAGAATTACTTGTCCATAACCATAAACCGACAAATGACCATCCCAGCGAAGAACACTCCCTGATACTAAAGGTTTTTTCAACAACATACATGCATCATTAATTAAGTACCTATAATAAACTGGTAATTAAAAAATACCAAATTTGTGAGACAAAAATCAGAATAATCAGCATAACAGATGCTTGCATCCACAGCAAAATTATAAAATGACAAATCTGTAAGTTATGGAGTTGTTGACATAACTTAATTGAAATACTCATCTTGAGCTGACATTGTCCGTACAATCAGCAATAATGTCATAATTAGAGAAAACTTCCATAACATTGCATGCGTGCAAATAAAAGTAATACACATCTACGCGAACACTGCTGTTTAATCTGGAAAAAGTATTATAGATATATAATATTGTTCTAAGTAAAAAAAATCACAAAAACAGAATTAAGACAAACAAATTAATGAATGAAAACACTTGAATGTTATGGAATCAAACATGCAACCTATTGATAGATGCTCGTAAAGAATGTGCTTTGGGACGAGATACATAGTCCTCACCATAAGCGACCTGACGATGTAGGTTATCAGAAGAAATCAAGTCACCATCTACAATACCAATTCGACCAATCCCTGAAACAACTTTGTAGAAAAAAGTTGTAAAAAATTGGGAAATTAAAGAGATAAATATTACCAGCTCCTGCACAGTATAGGGCAACATTGCAGCCCAAACCACCAACTCCAGCAATCAATAAAGAAGTAGCTTGAAGTTTTTCTTGACCTAGAAATTAAGTTCAATAGAGGTCTGAAAACATACCGCTCAATAGCAAACTTTAAGGACAGAAAATTTATAAAAATACTAGTGATTTAAACATGAATAAGTATAAGCATGCAATTAAAATAAAAGCAGATTGACTAGACATCCTGGTATACGATAAGAAGCGACGTGAAGTAATCTTGATAAAGGTTGGCATGACTTGTAAGAACAGGCTGATAGCAGTTGAGTCCGAGAAGAAGCGAAAGTACGATTTACTGGTTAATAAACTCTGGATAGAGGTGAATTGCAGGATGAAAATAACTCCGTATGTGATGACTAGGGATGGGATAGTGACGAACTTCCACAATCGTAACGCGAAGGAAATCAGTACATCTGATCACGTTGAGGCATATACCCAATCAATTATATATATATATATTGCTCGGCTCTGCCGAGTTGCTGAGCATTTGTCTGGTCAGCTAGCTGATCGCATCACAAAGTAGGAAAGCAGGAAATGGAGGAGAAACGGGAAAAAGCCGAGCCTGGGATCATAAATAAAAACAAATGGAAAACAGGTGAGGCTATTGAAGAAAGCTCCGTGAAGGTTATGGAAAAGCACTCGACCAGTGTACCAGAACTAGCAGAACGGATTGCCGGTCGAGTACAGCGAGAGTGCTGGGACACGATCTAACGGGAGAATCAAGACAGAAAAGAAGATTAACCTCCGACCTGCTGTACATGATTATATAAATGTATATAATCAATACCAGACGGAGGTAAATTTTTTTTCTTCATTATTTATTCTGGCGCTGGATCGTACTCTGGCATTTCCGCTGCACTCGACTCACGCTTAGTCTTTCTCTCTGTGTATATATATGCATTTATTTGTACTTATTCATATATATGAGCAACGATTACAAAAACTTGAAGGTTATATAAACGGAAGATCGACGTAAAATGGGTATTAGAAAAGTACTACAGCTTTCAAGAAGTTTGGTAATAAGGTTCTTAGCAAAAAGTTTATTAAATAACTACTTTAACAAAATCTTATTTAATATAATCAGTTTCCACCTCTTGTATATAACAACTTTTAGTTTACCTTGAACACCAAATTCCTGCAAAAGGATTTGACGGCTATATCTTTGCACGTCGATATTCGACAAATTGTGTTCCTTCACAACTAGCACTTCACTACTCTTTAAAGCAGTGTATTAAATTGTTTACTATGGAAGAAAGCAAACCGACATGAAATCAGATGAGTAATAATGAAAACTTAAAAATTATTTCCCAACAAAAAATGCCTTTACTTCAGAGCTTCAACAAAAATGAATGAAATTGTATATATGTGAGAATAATAAGTTTCGGGTACCACAAGTCATAATGTCTACTTCCACAACAATACTTTTCAATTTGGTTTCAAATAGAATGTCTTCACAACAATCTCATACGCATTTAATAACCCAGCCACTCGCAACAATATTATCGTAACAATCTACTTTAATCATCTACAAAAATAGCAGATATATATCATCTTACTTTATGCAAAGCACTAACAACGTTAAATACGATAACAATTTTCGAAGAATACTAACCTTATCCTGAAGTTCGTTCATTTCCGACGACTTCAAACGTTACGAAGCAAGAAGATTGTACGACGTAGGCAACTTTGGATGGTGTATTGACAATGAAGTCCGATTTCGCAACTTGACAACTTTGCAAGCACTTCGCTACATCGTAACTTTTAAAGAGTGGTTTGTTTCACTTTTCTGTCCCAGTGATAACAGACAAAATTTTGACTTTTGACTTCGATCATTGCGGAGCAGTATATCACACTGGCTGTTTAAATTATGAGTAACATCATTTATTTTATTTGCGACTTTGCATATGAAAGGATTTATGTCATCCACAATTTTCATATTTGCAGCTTCAACTGCTTGCAAATAGAAAAATTGAAAATTTTAGTTATTTTATTGAATCATGGGGTGCGTAATTTGCTTTGTTCAAGTCACGTACCAATTTTTTGAGTTTTTTTTTCTCGCGCTGAAGTTTCTTTTTTTCGTCCTGCTCAGAATCTATCGAGTAGACATATTCTTATAAAATTCTTTGTTACTCTTTGTAGCTAATAAAAATATTACCACTTAGAAAAATCTATAATCTACGAGGAATAATAATCACTGTAGAAATTAATGTGGCAGTTATTGCACGAAGCTATTTTATCTTTCTCTATTTTTGAAAAGTGATGTATGCTAATGGCTCTGTGTTGATGTCATTCATCAAGTCAGTTTGCATAAGTCATTCAGTTCTTTATCTCCTACAATTCTACTGAGTAGCATAGAAATAGATCATTTTGGTCTTATCTGTCAGATTTATAGTAAATACTCAAATGTAACAACATTAAGGACAATATTTTGCAGTTATTAAGTATAACAATTTGAATTAAACTGTTGAAATGATAATTTATAACATTGACTGTGGCATTCGAAAATGTTGCCAATTAGCAGTGTTGATTTCAAAGAAATACTGCTTTATTTCAAAAACTGTTGTGCGAAGGATAAATGTTTTATTTAAAAAATGAGGTTATTTATTAATCTCAAAATAACTGCCAGCGGATAATGAATTTTCAGAAGCTGAGTTTCATAGCACCAGATGATTTCCAGCAGTGTTGGAAACAAATTATTAAGCAGCCCTAAATAAAAGAACTCAAATAAATAAAGTACTGAAGTTTTTTTTGAGTTCCACATAGTAGTGAAAGAGATCGTTGATGACTAGCAAATTGCGTAGTCTTTAACGAGCTATTCCATCAATATTTAAATTGGAGAAGCTGGCACAAATAATTAAAAGTACAGAAAACACATGGTAATATACTGTACATTGCATTCACTCATTACCCTTCACCAGTTCACCCCAGCCAAAAAGCATGCAGTGCAGCACTAGAATCATCAAGATGAGGGGAGATGAGATGGTCATGTTAAACTGTGAGCATCATATTGCATTTTGATGCTTCTAGAGCACGTACAACTCGTCATTCTGTAGAATTCAACTTTAGTTTAAATATTTGCATCGAGGATAAAGTTTTCTTCGAGTGCTTCATTGAATTTGGAATTTTAAAGCAAGTATATTACTTCAAAATTTGCTTTATGACTATTTTTTTTCCTTTGGTATTCATTGTTGAATAAATTCAAGTCAGGCTTGAATGATCTACAGGTCTGTCTTCAAGCTTTAAAAGCTAGCTAAATGAAGTTTTCTTATCAATACTTTGGCATTACAGAATAATAACAAATATGCAATGATTAAAAATTTCTCGTGTCACCGTGCACTGCAAAGCAAATGTTTCTTCTATGCATGCTAGCAACAGTAACATGTACAGCTTGTGTATATCAAAAACTTTCTGAATTATTTCAATCATTATTTAACCCAGATACTGTACCAGAAATTTCAATTTCAAAATTGCAATACAAAATTGAGATATCCGTTAATTCTTTAATTAAATAAACTGAGTGCAATATTTCAGATTTAATCTTGTCAAAAATAAACTCTTTCACCAAGTTCTATTTATCACAATAAAGACTTGATCTAAATAATTGTCCAGCTTAAACATGTCATCTCAATATTCTACAAAATACACTTCTGCAATAAAACATGTTTTAAAGGGATAATAATGTTCTATTTCACAGAAGTAACTCTTCTGTTGTTTTCGTCATGTAAAACAATATCAGGTCAAATGAGATCAAAGTTCAGTTGATCAAAAAACAGGTCAAGTAGTTAAACTTGTCACCTACTTTTGCACTGTTGTTGTAGTACTTGAGAAGCTAAAATAGTGCTTCTTGTTACCCTCATTGAAGCTAATCAGTTTGTCCACAGAACACTGAAACCTCACGCACTGTTTATTTTTGATAAAAAAAAAAA